AGGCCATAAACCGAGGGTTTCTCAGCAAAAGAGAAATTGGCAAGAGGACGAAAATGGCTGTTTACCGCTCTACCTATGTACCAGTCCTGACATATGGGTGTGAGTCATGGGCAATGACAACAGCTCACAGAAGCCAGCTGCAGGCCTCGGAAATGAGATATCTGAGAAAGGTGGTCCAAGTGACAATACGTCAAGATCTTGATACCCAGTCTTTACAAACCCGAGTGGATCAGTCACAGTTACGATGGTTTGGACATGCATGCAGAATGGGAGAAAATCGGCCACCATGGCAAGCATGGGAGGCTAAGAACCAGGGAACCAGACCTCCAGGACGACCCAGGGTGCGCTGGGAAGACAACATCCGACAGTCCCTAACTGACAGAGGACTGGAATGGAACAAAGCCAGAAAGAAAACTGCTGATAGAGACGTCTGGCAATCTCTCTGGCAAACCTCTACACCCGAAGGTAGAAGAGGAGCGACTAAGTAAGTAAGTAAGTATAAATCAATGTGAAATGCGTTCCTTGGTGCTATAAAGAGTTAAATATATGACAACATATATACTATTCAACAGATTATACTGACTTTTTATAATCAATGAATTCCAATCTCCCTAATCACGTGACTGCGAACTTCCTAGCCATGTTATTGCATTCTCCCTAGCCACGTTCTTGCATTCTTCCTAGTCATGTTATTGCAATCTTCCTAGCCATGTTATTACAATCTCCCTAGCCATGTTATTACAATCTCCCTAGCCATGTTATTACAATCTCCCTAGTCATGTTATTGCAATCTCCCTAGCCATGTTACTGAAATCTCCCTAGCCATATTACTGCAATCTCCCTAGCCATGTTACTGCAATCTCCCTAGCCATGTTACTGCAATCTCCCTAGCCATATTACTGCAATCTCTCTAGCCATGTTACTGCAATCTCCTTAGCCATGTTACTGCAATCTCCCTAGCCATATTACTGCAATCTCCCTAGCCATATTACTGCAATCTCCCTAGCCATATTACTGCAATCTCCCTAGCCATGTTACTGCAATCTCCCTAGCCATATTACTGCAATCTCCCTAGCCATATTACTGCAATCTCCCTAGCCATATTACTGCAATCTCCCTAGCCATGTTATTGCAATCTCCCTAGCCATATTACTGCAATTTCCCTAGCCATATTACTGCAATCTCCCTAGCCATGTTATTGCAATCTCCCTAGCCATGTTATTGCAATCTCCCTAGCCATGTTATTGCAATCTCCCTAGCCATATTACTGCAATCTCCCTAGCCATGTTATTGCAATCTCCCTAGCCATGTTATTGCAATCTCCCTAGCCATGTTATTGCAATCTCCCTAGCCATATTACTGCAATCTCTCTAGCCATGTTATTGCAATCTCCCTAGCCATGTTATTACAATCTCCTTAGACATGATTACAATGTCCCTAGCCATTTATTGCAATCTCCCTAACTGTGTTATTACAGTGTCCCTAGACAAGTTATTACAATCTCCCTAGCCATGTTAATACAATCTCCCTAGCTATATTATTGCAATCTGCTAGCCATGTTATTACAATCTCCCTAGCTATATTATTGCAATCTGCTAGCCATGTTATTACAATCTCCCTAGCTATATTATTGCAATCTGCTAGTGATGTTATTGCAATCTCCCTAGTCATGTTACTGCAATCTCCCTAGCCATGTTATTACAATCTCCCTAGCCATGTTATTACAATCTCCCAAGCCATGTTATTACAATCTCCCTGGCCATGTTATTACAATCTCCCTGGCCATGTTATTACAATCTCCCTAGCCATGTTATTACAATCTCCCTAGCCATGTTATTACAATCTCCCTAGCCATGTTATTACAATCTCCCTGGCCATGTTATTACAATCTCCCTGGCCATGTTATTACAATCTCCCTGGCCATGTTATTACAATCTCCCTAGCCATGTTATTACAATCTCCCTGGCCATGTTATTACAATCTCCCTGGCCATGTTATTACAATCTCCCTGGCCATGTTATTACAATCTCCCTGGCCATGTTATTACAATCTCCCTAGCCATGTTATTACAATCTCCCTAGCCATGTTATTACAATCTCCCTAGACATGTTATTCAGCATCCTTATTACAATCTCCCTAATCATGTGACTGTAACCAGAGTGTATAACTAGCCAAAACCATCCCAGACAAGGATGCTTGTTCTGATGGTCTGAAGCCTCCTGTGTTGATCACACCCCAACAGAACTTACATGACATGTTAGTAAAGTCAGGGTCCAATTTCATGCTACTGATCCACTGTGCATATGAGGCTAGACTCATATATTTTATAGACAACTGGGCCTCTGGGGTTGCAGTGGCGGAGCGGCTAGATGCTCGCCGCGGATCGGAATGTCGTGGGTTCGCTCCCTAGCAGAGCCAGACTTTTTTTTTCTCTCAAAAATGACCTTGGCTCCCAGGTAGACCGAGCCGTGAATGGGTACCGAGTGCAGTCCAGGGAAGTAAAGGCGGCTGGCGTGATGTTGACCACATCACCCATCTCGTGCTGATTGGTCTATAAAAATATAGGACTAACCCTATATGCCCTATAGGCCTGAAGGTGTGGAAAAGGTCCTTTACTTATACTTTACTTCCCAGGACATTACCTGCTACCCATTTAAGGCTGGGTCAACCGGGGAGGCAAGCCCAGTTTGGAAAACTCTTCTTCTTCTTCTTCTTCGCGTTCGGTTTCGTATGCTCAGATCAGACCATCAGGTGGGTTGCCTCTATAAACTTGCATGTCAGCTGCAGGTCCTGCAAGGTTCCCCATAGCTTGCTCTGCGCACTTTGCTCTTGAGGCCAGGTGTCTTTTCGAAGTTGCAGGTAGAGTAGGCAGGTCTGCAGAATGTGCTGAGGTGTTTGTGGTCCTGTCTGACAGGCACACTGTGGGGACTGCACAAACTTTATTTTATGCATGTGGTAGTTGAGACTGCAGTGTACTGTTCGTAGACGGAAAATTTTTGTATGTTGCTTTCTGTTGAGTCTCTGATGGGATCTTGTGGATGTTTACTGTTAGTTTGTTCTCTCCCCAATCCTTGGTATTTTCCTTTGATAAGTGTTTTGATTTCTGGTAATGACAATGAATGGGTGTGTTGTTTCTTCTTTGTTCCATTTTTTGCAAGTTCGTCTGCTAGCTCATTTCCTGGTATGCCGCAGTGAGCCGGGATCCACTGGAGAACGATTTGATTGTTTTCTGTGAGTCTGTTTAGCTGACGGGTCAGTTCTCTTTCTATGTTGTCTCGTGGATCCCTATGAGTCGCCTGGAGGACTGACATGCAGTCACAAAGCAAAACAATTTTGCTGTTTTTAATTTTTCTTTCCTTGAGCACTTTAGCTGAATCAATAATTGCTTGCTGCTCTGCTCTGAAGTTTGTTGAGAGTCTTCCGGAGGCGCATGACGTTTCTACTGTGGTTCCATCTTGCAGCATGATGACCGATCCAGCTCCTCCATTTTTGTCTGCTCCCTCCAATGATCCATCGGTGTATACATGTGTCCATTCGGGTTTTGGATAACTGTTGCAGACATGTTCAAGGGAGTTTGGAAAACTACATGTAAGAGCATGTGAAAATGGCCAAGTGTCCATATTAGGATGATGAATCATCATTATGCGCCCTGCCGAAAAATTGCATGTGGTCATGTTGTGTCATCTAAAAACGATCACCAGAATTATGGAAAAGGTCAGTGCTCTTGTCTCATAACATCCACTTAGTCAAGCCATCCAGGGACAAGGGATGGTGAAAAAATAATGCTGCCTATTTTCATTTATATATGTAAAGACTATATCCATGAACAATCTGTGAATTTAGGGGTTTCCTCAGACATTGTTCTGCATTACCACTCTGTTTCAGAAACAGGTGGCACCTCTTAATCGTTTAAAAAGGTCTACCAAAGACATTCTATTTTGAATGTTGAATACTGAAATAAGAATCAACATAACAGCACTCGGGACACCCCCATAATCACTCCATCCTTATCTTCAGCAGCAAGAGTTCCAGTTCCGATGGTATCAGTAACTGTATATCCGTTTCACCTTTGCCTTGAGCGTTGGTCAGATCCCCTGGTTAACTCCCCGCACGCAGCGCCATTCTCCTCAGACCATAATGATCTAGTTGTGCCTCCTCACTGTTCACTCGCTCCCTCACAACATCTAGCTTGTCATTAATCAATTCACCACCAAGTGGTGCAGGACCGGCCAGTCTATCTGCCTGTTCATTTTCCTTCATACTGGCATCATCTAGAGAAAATATCCGAAGGACGCTAACTACCTGGGACCTCTCAAGCGATGCTTGGCATTCTGCACAAAGCGTGCCCTGTCTCCACAAGCTCTGTGAGTCAGTTACAATTACGACATGCGTATAGCTGAAATAGGAATAGAACCACTGCCTTCCCAAAAGCATGTTTTAAGAGTCAACTAACTGGGGAGCTTCCTTTGAGTGCATCTGCCTGAGAGGCAAGAAACCAACAGTCTGCATTCAAGGGAATGAGATCTTTAAAACTGATGCACCTGCAACACTCAGGTTCTGCAGCAGGACTGCAGTTTAGAAGTGGACGTATAACCAGAGCTTTCCGCCAGTGTACAGCTGGTGAACGCGAAGAAGAAGAAGAAGACCCTCTTTCATATTCAACTCTTTTAAAACTTTGCCATGCTCTTTTGCCATCAATTCTGCAAGTTGTAACCAAGGTCCATTTCTTCTCATTACATGTCAAAATAAAAATATTGCCCATGTCTTATTTATCTAAATACTTCAAGGATGATATATATCAAGTGTAGTAATTTAATGTTGGCATTCCTTAATGACACAGAATATATACAAATTCTGGAGACAAAAAAACAAACTCAACAGGGATATCTGGCAATGGGTTGTGGGTACAGGTGGGTTACCGTTGGAGAGAATGGGTGCATGAAATAAATACAGACGAGGAAAACAAAACACATCCAAATATTACACAGCTACTCTTGCAATTAGAAGTTGTCACCATCGCCTTTTGATGACTTGGTAATGATGCGTGTGATAAACTTGCCCCTCTGAAACTGGCCCTGCGCTTTAGTTTTCTGCGGGGTCACCTCCTCTGCAGGGGGTGGTTTTGGCTTATCTGCATTAACCTGTAATAATTTGGAGAACTCTAAATTATATAGTTTTAGAACCAAGTCACATATTTTTGTAAAAACTGTAATGTTATTTTAGTTTTAACATAAACCAGTTCTCCGTATGGGTTACTGGGTCCCATTATGGGGGAAAACAAGAACAGACCCACTGTCTCCCCAACAAGCATTTTGTGAGAGGCGTCTAACTCAGGTGCTTCCTTTGAAGTCAGAGTGAATCTGCCTGAGAGGCAAGGAGCCAGCAGTCTGCATACACATAAGCAAGATCTGTAAAACAGATGCACATGCAAAACTCAGGTCCTGGAACAAAGCCAAAGTCTAGACATGGATGAATAACCAGGTCTTTCTGTCCGGGGCTTACAGCCGGTGAATGCAAACAACAACACATGTTAGTTAAAGTTGGAAAACCATTAAAGACGTGGAATGGAAATTAAATGCATATGAAAACAAACGCCTGAGGAAAATGATGATTATAAAATGTGATGTATTGAAAAGGAAGGAAGAAATAAGAGAAATGTCCAGGCAACCACTAGTATCAACAGTGATAAGACAGAGAAGATGGCTCTATACTGGACACATTCTGATAAGAGATGAACACAGAATAACCAAACAGACAATGAAATGGGAAAAAGTAGGACTCAGATAACGAGGATGCCCAGCAGAAACCATAAGCAGAATGTGGATGAGAGAGGCCAATGGTACTGGAATGGATTCCATCCATGATTGCACAGGACAGAATGAAATGGAGGGATAGACTGTGAGCCCTACGTGACATAAAACAGCACAACAGGATAATGAACAAATGTACATGGAGACTTGTTAGACAACATCATCCTCATCACGCTGTTACGCTCACATATGTCACACAGCACTTGGAGTTTACTTTTTCAGTTCCTTCAGTGGAAGTTTTTAATAACATAGCATAACCCTTGACCTGTTAGGGTCGTGGATGTGCATCTATGGAAGCACTAGCTCATAAAACCGGCCATCTTTCTCTGTCTTCCGCTTGATGAATAAGTGTATGATAACCAAGTGCTGTCCATTTCTGGATGCTGTCTTTCCAGATTCTTCTTTGCCTTCCTTTTCTTTGACTGCCACAGTTGTTCCTTGAAGTAAAGTCTTTGCAATCGAATCATGTCTCACCATGTACCTGAACCAAGCTAGCATGTGACGTTTCACCACTGCTAAGAGACGCTTCTGATGTCTTGCAAATTTGTATATTTTGTCTCTGACATATCCGTTAGTTTTGTGTTCTAAATAATTAATTTGTAAAATGCATCTGTAGCATTTACATTCGAAAGCCTGAATTCCCCTTTCCATTTCCACAGTAAGAGTCCAACTCTCACATCCATATAAGAAATCAATCTGTTTCCTATTCAAGTGCCTGTTGGTGATTCTCTGTTGGCATTGTCTCAGGATATGCCCAATATACCATTATCTTCTTTGATTTACAACTGTTAGTGCCATCTGTCAGACAAACAGTAAGGATCTGTCAATCAAGTATGGGCTCCAAAAAAAAGGCTGGCTGCAACGGATCTCCAACAGGCTCCCCATTGTGGGGAAAATAAGAATAGACCCACTGCTTATCTAACAGGCTGTCACAAGAGTCGACTAACTGGGAGCTTCCTTTAAAGTCTGAGTGCATCTGCCTGAGTGCATCTGCCTGAGTGCATCTGCCTGAGTGCATCTGCCTGAGTGCATCTGCCTGAGAGGCACACAACCAATGGTCAGATTTGTAAAATGGATACGCATGCAACACTCAGGGAGTCACCTTGGCATAGCGGCTAGATGCTCGTGTGCGGATCCGAAGGTCATGGGTTTGCTCCCTGGCGGAGCCTGACTTTTTTTAAAAAATGACCTTGACTCCCAGATCGACCCAGCATTGAGTGGGTACCGGGTGCAGTCCCGAGAAGTAAAGGCGGCTGGCGTGATGCTAACAACATCACACACTTTGTGCCGATTGGTCTATAAAAATATAGGTCTAGCCCTATATGCCTTTTTACGATTAAAGACGTGAAAAAGGGACCTTTACTTACTTATGCAACACTTCTGTTCTGGAACAGGACTAGAGTTCAGGAGTGGACAAACAACCAGAACTTTCCGCCAAAATTTACTTACATTTGTCCCATCCACAGCCTTGGCTTTCTCCTGCTTCTCTTCAGCATGCTCCTCAGCGATGGGCTGAAGACTGGAGCGCACCAGAGACGGGTTCGCATAAGCATATGCTGGCAGGGCCGCATCGTACATCATAGGGGAACCAGAGGGTGGAGAGATAGGTGTGGAATATATAAAATTTTCTCCTGGGTGGTAGAGTTGTCGATATGCCTGGTCGTCGCTGAATATTGATCCATACGTTTGCTAGATTAAAAATAATAATATCTTGTAAATATAAAATCTGTTCATATGTAAATATACAAATGTACAAGCAATATTATTGTCAGATAAACAGGACCTTTTTATATGCTTTTTATAATCCAAATGTCACTTGGTGAGTGTTATAGCTAATATCTTGCTGGCCACTTAAACTCCCAGTACATTTCCTGGTATTCATTTTTTTGGCAAACATGTCATTAAAAAGCAAGTTAAATTCTATGGTCGTTTCCTCCATGTGTAGGATCCGGGGACCCATTTGGGGGGGATAGACCCACTGCCCCCACTAGCAAGCATGTCATAGTAGGCAACTAATTGGGCGAGTTTCCTTTGAAGTCATAGTGAATATGCCTGAGAGGTGAAGAGCCAACAATCTGCATTAAAAACAAACAAAAGCAAACTTAATTAAAGCTTATAATAAAATAAGCCATATTTGTAAAACAGATGTGTATGCAAAACTCAAAGGTTCTGGAACAAGACTAAAGTTCAGAAGTGGTAGAACAACCAGAACTTTATGAAGTTTACAGTCAGTGAAGACGAAAAATTATCGCTTCCAGGATATATGATTTCATTAGGTATATCTTTGGCTTCTGCCTTCATGTCTACTGTTATCAGTATACCTAGAGAAGAGTACTGGAAGGTTAAAACTCTATGCCAGTCACTCTTGAATATTAGCGGAGACTTTGGGAAGAACTTGAAAGCAGTGAGTAGTGGTTTTTTAACTGAATGCTGTAGACATCGGAGACAGCTAGATTAAATTATGAATGCTCAAAAAAGGCTGACAGTTTAAAAAAAAAATACCCAGAAACCATGAGTTGTAAACCCTTTGGCTCGGTACTATGGATATCTCAACCCTTCTTCCTTGATAGATACCGTAAATCTGGCAGAAATATGGCTTTTCTGCCTACCCCCGGGATCGAACCCAGACCACAAGGAGTTCGTCACCTGGTCGCCGTGCAGTCAGGTTAATGACAGTTAAAAGTTAGTTGCTACCCTTTACATGATGCTGCAGAACCAACCCCAGTATTTTTTTGGGCCCCTGCGATTTTTTTAAAAGGCAAATTTTACGTTACTGCTTTATAAATGGTCAGCTCTCGGTACCACTGTCAAAACCAACGCAAGACAAACAGACTGCAGCTGGGATCGAACCCGGCACCCTAGCATTACCAAGTGCGTTTGTAACACCTAAGCCACAGACAATGACAATAAAATAATGATATGCTGTCCTATCTTTACTGCTGTCTGTATTTACCACTTGACAGTTTAGGGCAGTACAAGATGAGGGAGGTAGACCGTGAGCCTCACCCCGCCCCTCAAGATAAATATACCAGCTTTGGTATAATGGCATTATTAGTTATGTTTTGTGCGTGCCAATGTTTAGGACATGACATACGAGATCTGGGAAACAATTTCAACTTTTAAAGTTATTAGGTCGTAATTTTCCTTTGGCAGTCGCATAGCAACAGGGCCATGGTACGAATCAGTGTAACAAGGGGAATGTTTTTCATTTAATTCTCTGCGGCCCTGTATTTTTTAATAATCCAAATGTCATTTGATCGGTATCGGGAATAATATCTCAGCTTCCCTAGTTGTGGTATGAGTTCCTGTATACATTTTTAGACCCAAGGGAATGTCTTCTATTCATTTCTCTGCTTCACTCATGTTTACTAATTTGACTTCCATTCATATCTCTGCTTCATTCATGTTTACTGATTTGTCTTCCATTCATTTCTCTGTTTCATTCATGTTTATTAATTACTTCCTTCATACATTTCTTTAAAAAATTGGTTTATGTATACAAATAAAGAAAAAGACAACAAATGCACAAGAGACTCACTCCTTCTTCACTGTACGCAGCAAGCACATCATCCTTCTCAGAGACCGTGACATGGGGTTGAAACACAACCAGCATCACCCAGATCGGCAGGAGCAGTTTTAGTATCTGCCGGGGAAGAAATAAGTCAGCTGGCAAGCCATAAGGTGATGATGATGATGACATTGATGATGATGGTGATGTCAATGAGCTTGTAATCAACTGCAAACCAGATCTATGTGTGGGTTCCAGGGTCCCAATATGATGGGGGGGGGGGGGGGGTGGAGGAGTAGAACAGACCTAATGTACACTAATTAACATGTACTACTAATTAAAGTTGTTCCCTTGAAATCGGAGTGCACCTGTCTTGCCTAAAATCCAGTCTAGTTTAGTTTAGTCGACGGATCAACATCATTGCACATGGGTGTAACCCATAAGTGCTCCGTTATACTTCTAACTCAAGCTTGAGTCTGAACAAACAAGCGCAGTGCACAAACTCCGTAGCACCAGCGAGGATCCTGAAATACTTTGGGTAGACTTTTTGCCTGGGAGGCAAAAAACCAGCAGTCTGTATAAAAATAAACCAGATGTGTAAAATGGATGTGCAAACAAAACTCAGGTTCTGTCCAGAAGTGGATGAACAACCAGAACTTACCGCCAGAGTTTACAGTCGCTAAATGAGAAGAAGAAGCAGTATACCAGAAACATAAACTGTAGTCTATAACCCCATTTTTGGAAGGTAACTGTGAGATGTAAATTTACATGACTGCATATCCTAAAAGCCAAGCGACTTGAAGATGAGCCTGTATACCAGAATTCATATACAGACACGGTCTGTCCTCCATTTTACTGGAGAAAATCAGCCTACTTTTCTATGCCTGTTGACAGAGGCACTAGATAATGATGGCAAGCCTTTTATCAACTGTATACCAAATACTAGCCGTTGTGACGTTGCGGCTAGACGCTGGGAAGTTAAGGCGGTCGGTGTAATGCTGACCATATTACCCACCAAGTGTCGACTGTTCTAATAAATATAGGCTAGCTCTATAAACCCAATATGCCCGAAGAGTCTTTTACTTTAATTTGTACCGAATACTGAGTCACACAAAACAAACATGTTTTAAAAGGGGCTAGGGTTCGGGGACAACTTATCACAAACATCAGACACAGTAATAATTCATGGTGCCATATGAATACGAAAACTGGAACAAGTTGTGACGACTGGAAAGACCTGTGGAAAGAGAGATAAGAGGAAGACAGCAAAAGAAGACTCTTGACAGCTTCTTGCCGTGGCATGGAGGGGTGTCAGCACATGAACTGATGCACTTGCTGAAGATCACAGGTTGTGGAGAGGCATGATCACCCATGCCAGTAGGAAACGCCCTTGGTATGATGATGATGATACCAAATACAGACACTGCAGCCTGTAATCAGTTCCGTTAGAGATCGTGAGATGTGAAGTATTATTGGCTTTGCCAGTTGCTAAGCATTCTGAATATGATGATGGCTTTGTAATCAACTGCATACCAAAAGCCAGCTGGCAAAGCACTTGATGATGATGACTATGACTCTTAACCCTACTTATCTTATCAATGCCAAACATAGACAAAGAACAGAATGGAAAATAACTAACTGTGAATCTTGTCTCCGTAAGGTCACTAACAACACACAAAAAGGATAGGGTTATGAACAGCATTAGAGAGAACATTTTAATAAGAACATGTGATTTATACTAACAGGCAAAGAATGAAATGATTCAGCCATCTAGTGAGAATGTGGCAAGACCTAAGTGCATCTGAGATTTTTTATAGCAAAACATCTGGGAGAAAGGCGAGAGGAAGACAAGGAAAGAAGTGGATAAATGGTGTAGCTGAAGCCTGCAAGAAGATAAGCAAATCCATAACCCCAGCCAGCCGAGAAGTGCAAGACAAACAGAGAAAAACCAGGACACTGGCCTACAACCTGGTATCAGTGAGAAGATAAAAGAAAGAAATAAGAATCAGCTGCCTACTAGTGGACTTCACACAAAGGAGGAGGAGATGAACCAGGCCAAGAAAGTTGCAGATCCAACATTCTGCAGACTGAACAGGCCTCCAATATTAAAAACACTAAAATTAAGACATTTAATCACCAGAAATGGAAAGACCTGACCAAACAGTAACTCGAGAAAAGAGCCAACAGTAACTTGACTGAAGAGCCAACAGTAACTTGACCGAAGAGCCAACAGCAACTTGACCAAAGAGCCAACAGCAACTTGACCAAAGAGCCAACAGTAACTCAGTGACAACATGACACAGCAAATTATGGAACTATAGATAGAATACACTGCAAACAAAATACAAAGTGTATGCTTTACCTATCTGCCTTAATGGACAAACAAGATCACAGTTAATGTATTGTGTCACGATGATGGTACAAGTGTAGAGAGAGAAGAATGGTGGTGCAAATCATGTTAATAAGTCACAAAAGAATGCTTGAATGTTGATAAAACTATGTTAACTGTAGTGAAAGACTTATCAAATACTGACGCAAATGATGTTTACAGCCAGTAAAAGATTACCTCAAAGATGATATCACAATTCATATAATTAATCCCCCGTGTGGGTTCCGGGGCCCCATTGTGGGGAAAACAAGAATAGACCCACTGCCTCCCCAAATGCATGTAGTAAGAGTCGACTAATTGGGGAGCTTCCTTTGAAGTCGGAGTGCATCTGCCGGAGAGGCAAGGAACCAACAGTCTGTATTCAAGAGAATGAGATCTGTAAAACTGATGCACACGCAACACTCAGGTTCTGGAGCAGGACTGCAGTTCAGTAGTGGACGAGCAACCAGAACCTTCCACCAGAGTGTACAGCTGGTGAACGCGAAGAAGAAGAAGATATAATTAATCTGCTTGAAATGCTATCATTTGTTTTGGCAGACTTACCATCAGGGAAATGAGTGCGGGCGAATATACAACTTGCTGGTAAGACTGTGAACAGAAAACACAAAGTCAGCAACCCATCAAGTAAAACTATAATAGTTTATTAAACAAAAAAAAATTATGTTAATAAAATAAGTTATAATCTTGGTTAAAAATCTCTTCCGTTGCCCAGGGATATCCCCACAGAGCGCTAGTCTTTTCCCACAGGGGGAATCTTTCAACAGTGTACACAAGCCATATTTTCAGTGAGGATTCAAATATGAGCATCAGACACGCAGTATTTCAGGAAACCCATAATTAGTCAGTCACCTGTTATATGCTTGTTTAGAGGGAGGGATCTATTCTTTCTGGAACCCCCATGAAAAAGATGTTTCTTAATCCATGTTTCTCTGAAACTGACTGACTGATTACTGATGATTCCTTTCCATTTAAAAGACTATTCACTGATCTATTTGGCTACCAGCTCTACTGTAACCAGAAAAGGGCTAACATACAGAACGAAATGTAACAATAAATGCCAGGTGTCCCAAGTTGAGTATAATTCTTCTTTTTCTTCTTCATGTGCATCACCAGTAAATGCCAGTGGAACATCCTGGTTCTTCATCTACTTCTGGACTTCAACCTTGTTCCAAGAATTGAGTGTTTAATATTTACAGGCATTTGCAACAACAACAAATACTTACAAATATTGCACTGCATCCACTTTCTCGATCTCCAACTGTCAAAATATTAAATAAATACAAAATATTAAAAAGCTAAGCTTTACAACTGAAACTTCTGTTGTTTCTCTATGTTCATACGTATAAGGGTAGTTGGCATGTTGTGTTGTGGTTTACAGCTAAGCTGCTATATCTGCCTCTTTCAGCCCAACATAAAACCTTTGTTAGTTACCTTTTTAGACATGCTTGTTAAGTGACAGTGGATCTATTATTATTTGCCAACCAAAATAAGGCTCAGGAATTTATACAAGACAATTTTTACAATCTATACTACTGCGTTACTTCCCCGCAAATTTACTGTATCAAGCTTCCTTACATAAACAACACACTCAAAAAAATCTCAGATGTTTCTACAATGGTGGAGTGATCTCACTGCAGCAATTATGAAGGTTTGAGATTCAATCAGTGGTGGGGAAGTGGTGCTTCTTCATCCTACAGAAAAACTAGCTATTCAATCAGTGGTGGGGAAGTGGTGCTTCTTCATCCTACAGAAAAACTCTAGCTATTCAATCAGTGGTGGGGGAGTGGTGCTTCTTCCTCCTACAGAAAAACTCTAGCTATTCAATCAATGGTGGGGGAGTGGTGCTTCTTCATCCTACAGAAAAACTCTTGCTACAAGAACCAATAAATCCTGAATAGGTCTATATAGGGTTTGGCATGAGATGGTTGAGTGAGGCTTTTGCTTCATTGGAAGATTGACCCTTGATCCTGAGATGCTGCCAATGTGGCATCGTCATCCAGTATGAAACCCCATCAAAGCTGGTAATGCTTCATTGGTCTCAAAGCACAGCTCTTATGACCACTGGAACTTTTCCCCCTTCTTCTACACTTAAAAGGGTGGCTGGCAGGTCGTGTTGTGGTTTACAGCTAGACTGATGTTTCCACCTTTCAGTCCATTTCATCCAAATCTGGCAAATCCCTAATAAGTCGACTTTTACAACATGCTCGTTAGAAGGCCCTGGAACCCATATGGGGAAATTGAATTCACACCAAAGGAGACATCATCGAACAAGCCTTACAAAAAGAAACATCATACAGTCACTAGCTAACGGACACAGTTTGTTACATACGAATCTGCATGGTCAGGTCATAGATGAATGTTCCAAAAGCTGACAGCTCAAATACAACCACAATGCTGTGAAAACAGAAATTCAAAGAGAACGTATTTAGAAACACAAAACTAAAGTTTTTTTTAAATCTATTAACTCTTTTAGTATCAAGAAGATGAAGACTCTTGGCTGAAACATTCAGCTGTATTTGTACACATCTTTTTCTTCCCCTCAGCTCTGAGATTTCTAGTCCAAGTCTGCTTTTTGTTTAGTTACTTCCCTTCCAGTGTGGGTTCTGGGGGGCCATTTCTGGGGCCAATGTGCTAGAATGCCGATACAGACAACAAGTAACAAGTAAATCGTCATTTGTGGCTTAGGGGTTGCCGCTGCAGTTTCATTCCAAAATATCTAGTTTGTTTCAGCTGAAGACAATTTGGTGGACCTTCTTTCTTTTGTCAAAATCTGATTGTGCCGCTAGGCGTCGCAGTCTATCAGATGATCGGCAACCGAGCCAGGGCGCGCTCAGTCGCTTCATATGCCGTGATGTTATGAAGTCTCAAGTTGTCCGTGACTCCTTCAATCCATCTTCTTCTTGGTCTTCCTCTGCCTCTTGGTGTTTCGATTTTCATGTTGTATGCTCATGTTGTATGCCGGCATCATTGGTTCCATTCTCATTAGGTGACCAAACCATTTATTTCTTTGCTTCTCAATAAATTTAACGATGGGTATGGTTCCAATAGTTCTTGTAATCACATCGTTTCTCACTCGATCTCTTCTGGTTTTATTTGCAGCCATTCTCAAACATCTCATTTCACAGGTGGTCAGTCTTCTCTCGTGTTCTTTTGTTAATGTCCAAGCCTGACATTGATATTTGGTGGACCATTTTGTGTTAATTCTGACAACGGTATGTATGGGGCACTGACTGTTCAGAAAGCAATAGCAAACTTCTTTTTACAGTCCATGCAATGCAGTGTTGGCAATCATGTTATGAACAACCTTCTGTGTCGTGCACTTTCTATCAACACTGGCAAAGATGACCTTTCATTCTATGATGTCCAACTGTCCAGCATCTTCTCTCTTGGTCTCTCTCTGAGGCCTCTTACCAACTTTCAACTATCAGGATGTACTCCCCTTTCTCTTTCTCATCACGTGACCAAAGAATGTGGATTGTCTCCTTCCAATGTGGGCAGTTAGTATTCTCTATGAGTCAGTTTCTTTCACAACATCATCACTGCTCTTTTTATATGTCTAGGGTATTCCAACCTTCTCATTTTTACAGTCTATGCCATGTGGCCTTGGCTGTCATTTCTATGTACAACCTTCTGTAAAGTGTAGTTTCTATCAATGATGACACAGATGGTCTTCCATGCCATGATATCAGATTGTCTAGCATCTTTTCTCTCAGTCTCTCTCTGCCTCTTTACCGCTCCAACTTTCCCAATCTCACGATCTACTCCAGTTTTCTCCTTCTCAAGACATGACCAAAGAATACCGATTGTCTCCTTCTGATGTGGGCAATTAGTAATCTCCGTGTGTCAGTTTCTTTCAAGACATGTTCGCTGCTCTTTTTATCTGTGCAGGATGTTCTCATCATTCTTCTATAAAGCCAAATATCTGCTAATGACACTGCGTGTCATTGGGTCACCAGTTGCTGCTGACTGCCCGATCAGTCCCCTCCACTTCCGACGGTCAGATCCGATGGACTTCATGGTTGCACGCTTAGGGTCTGTCCGGTCAGTCAAGTTCTGTATCCATGTCTTTCTTGGTCTGCTTCTTCTCCTCTTCCTTCCTACTGAGCCCTGTAGTATTAATTTTGAGAGGCCATAAAACTTTATTACATGTCTGTACCGCTGCATTTTCTGTCTTTTCACTGTGGTGAAGAGGTTCATAGTTGCCTATGTGCTGAATGGCACAGTCGTCACCATCATCAATTTTCACTTTTGCTGTTAAGTGTTGTGGGAAGGAAGTCTGTGATCAATTGGTTGATCGGCAGAATTGGCTATTGTCATTCCATGTTGATGTAGAATCTACTTAATATCATCAATCCATCTTCTCCTAGGGCGGCCTCTTCCTTTCATTTCAGATCTTTTCATTTGTAGTATCTGCGTTGGTAGTTAGTTGTTCTGACTGCATTCTTACTAGATGACCAAACCATCTGATCTTCTGTTTTTCAATGAACTTGCTGCATGGTGTTGTTCCTACAGTCTGTTGGATAATTTCTAACTTTGTCTCAGATGGTTAAGTTGGCAGCTTTTCTTAGGCATCTCATTTCACAGGTTTGAATTTTTAAGGATATGCTTAGGGACTCTACCATCCTCCAGGTGTGACCAGCCAAGTAAGCCCTCAGACTGACCACTGAGAAGACCGTTGAAATACCTGCTCTTTCCAATTCCTCCCTATTTGTTATCTTGTGTTGCCAAATAAAGCCAAGTATTCTTCTTAGGCATTGTATATTAAAGCTATTTAGCCGTTTCTCATGGTGCAAATAAGCTGACCACTGCCATAAAGAGAGTGTTGAGAATACAAACCTGACAGACAAGGTTTTAGTATGTGAGCATGCCAAACCACACTTTGTTTTTCAAATTACTTTTAACTCTTTCATTCCTATGCTATGCAATATATGCAAGTGGTTGTTTTCTACCAATCCCAACCACTGCTTCATGTTCTTGTTACTCTGTACTTGATCACATCACATTATGGAACTCTGGCTATTTCTATTGTGTAATCCCTTCTTTGCGAATCTTCTTTTCTTCGTGCTCACTGGCTGTAAACTAACGTTTAAAGTTCTGGTTGTTTGTTCACTTCTGTATTTTGGTCCTGCTCCAGAACCTAAGGCATTGTGTACACATCTGTTTTGCAGCTCTGGCTTATTCATATGCAGACTGTTGGTACCTCGCCTCTCAGGTAGATGCAGTCTGACTTTGAACAAAACATCTCTAAATAGTTTACTCTTAGTTAGGACATGCTTGTTGGGGGCAGTGTGCCCATTCTTTTTTTCCCTTCATAATGGGGCCCTGGAACCCATACGGGGATACCTGCAAGTAACATGCCTGGTTTTTTTTCATAGAAAATCAGCTATGAAAACTTTCTGAGGCTGAAGCAGTATACAAGTCTTCTTTATTCTCTTGTATGTTTTTAGAACTTGAGCATGAGCAGTTATACTATGCAGATAATAAATAATTTCAAATACAATGAGCAAGGCAATGAACAAATTTATAGATTGATTGGTTGCTGCGGCTCCTCTGGGCAGTGAGCTACATTACATGCATTACATGCAAACCGACTGATGTGGCCTAGGGCATGGAAAAGTCCGTTGGTGGTCAAAAGCCACGGCCAAAGAACGCAGACAAGGGTCACTTAAAACGAGACTTGGGTCAAGAAAACCGCTAAGCAGTCGCAGCAAGTCTAGTGGATCGGTCTCGAGAGCGCCTTGCCATGAGTACTCACATGGTGTGAGACCTGGCGAATGGCCCCACTGCGGCTGAGCTTTGTCATAAGATCTGGTATGATGTATTACTCTCTGGCGCCAATATGGTGAAATAGCATGCGACCGCCGACCCAACATGTCCTCTATGCAGAGCTAAGCAGATGCTCAAGCATGTACTGTCCGCGTGCAAAAAAAAAAAGCCTTAGGAAAGGGACGATATACTTGGCGCCACAACAAAGTCCTAAAAAGTGAACGTTGTGGACCAAGCCAGGATGAGGGCTAACGCGAGGGCCAGTCCTGTCATCGCCCCAATGCTCTTCCTCAAGGCTGGGCAGATTTCTAAAGATAAAGTCAACAAGGTCGCATACGCTCCATCAATACTTGACTGTGCCAGGGACTGGTTACTGGCTGTCGACCTGCCTGATTTCGAGATGTACCCACAGTCAATCCGGAAGAACGGCCTGAGACCAGATATAGTCCTGCACTCAACGGAAAAACGTCAGCTCGTACTTATAGAGCTGACCGTGCCGTACGAGTTGCGGATGAAAGAAAATCACCTGTACAAGCTCGAGAAGTATGGGATCTCGTGGCCGGTCTGAGGAGAGACAAAGCGTACTCAGTAAAAATCTTCGCCGTCGAGGTTGGCACAACAGGTCTTATCTCCACTTCCACTAACAATGTGCTAAAACAGCTGGGCTTGTGAAGAAACGGGCATAAACGGTCACTAAAACAACTGGGCGAAGCTGCTGAAAGAGCTTCGAGCTGGCTCTGGACGCAACGGTACCTCGTGGGGGATGGACCTCGGTAGTCAGGTCTGAGTCCCTAAGGGAAAGGAGCTTCTTATCCCTTAAAAGCCAAAGTGTCCGATAGATGTCTGCCAGTATCTCTCTGCCAAAGTCTAACATGTGTCCGATGAACCAACCGTAAGCTTGTCACTTGGTCCTTGAGGTAGTGACGAAGGATCTTCTACTGATGATTGGTGGACTCCTGCTGTACATGCTCCCCTGTGGAGTTCTTCTTGTTATTATTTATAAAGTAATATGGTAAAGGCTATCTGGGATAAAATGTACAGTGCAGTAGAACAGATAGAGAATCTGCCATACATTGAAAAACTAATTCAACGGGAAGTGACTAGGTTCTGGAAGATATTCAACACTGAGGGGGAAACAGACTTTAAATCAGGTTGCAACTGGTACTGTTAGCATGTCAACAGTTTGTTGGCTACTGAAGAAGGGGACGGAGCACATACGGGAATGTCCTGAGTGCACTGGTGTCAATTCTTGATTTATTCATTCAGATACAAGAAAGAAAAAAAGAAAGAAAGAAAGAAAGAAAGAAAGAAAGAAAGAAAGAAAGAAAGAAAGAAATAAAGAAAGAAAGAAAGAAAGAGTAGCTGACGACAGACTTACCACCAAAGATCCCGTTTCTGTGACCAGCGAACTGAATCAAGGGTGCTGATCTCATTGAGGCGTCGAGTTATGTAAAACGCAGACACAGTAAACACTTGCACGATGAGAAACTCAACCACGGACAAAGCCAGCCAGTAAGGAGCTGTGGGTGAAGAGAATGTTAACAAAGCAATTATACATACCTAACACATACTATGTCTATAATAATAATGTAAATAAAGTATATATATAAATACACTGGTAAAGTGCACACAGTTTAGTTTATACAGCAATATCAACATTCTGCTTCTTTTTAGTGTTCACCTGCTTTAAACTCCAGAAGTAAGTTCTGGTTGTTCTTTCACTTCTGGATGTTGGTCTTGTTGCAGAATCTGAGTTTTGCATGCACACACATCCATTTTCCACATCTTGCTTATTTGTATCCAGACTTGGTTTCTCGCTTCTCAGGCAAAAGCACCCCGAGTTTGAAGCAAACACGCCTAATTAGTCACTTCGGTGCTGCTATAGGCCTACAATATTTTCCTCTCTGTTTTGCATAGGTGGGATGCTTTTGAGGTAAAAGTTTAACTCCTTCCCTACCACAGTTTCATTTATCAGTATCTCCAATAATTAGTTTATTGGGACTCTTTCATTCCCAAACAGCGTATAATGCATAATTAGTACTGTGAATCCAACATGTAAAATCCTTTTTGTAATCGGTCACAGTATTTTAAGAAATCTGGCTTTCTAGTGTTTAGCGTCTTTGAAAACAATACATAGGTGTTTTTCCTATTGGTTATTTATAAACACAGGAATCTCCGGTAAAACCTTCTGGTACTCAAGGAGTTAAATTCATGGTAAATGAGCTTGTTCTTGATTCTATATAGCATTGTTCCTCAACTTTTTTACATCCGTGGCCCACCAAACAAAAGGAATTTGTTTTGCGGCCAATCTCAAAGCCAACCTAATAAACAAACAAAAACAAATGTGGATGGCAGTAATTTGGTTAAACTGGATGTCACCAAATAAAAATCTCAGCTAATGCGACAGCTACTGAGACGTTGTAAACTGTTGAGAGGTTGTAAACTGTTGAGAGGTTAGAAACTGTTGAGAGGTTGTAAACTGTTGAGAGGTTAGAAACTGCTGAGAGGTTGTAAAGTGTTGAGAGGTTGTAAACTGTTGAGAGGTTGTAAACTGTTGAGAGGTTGTAAACTGTTGAGAGGTTGTAAACTGTTGAGAGGTTGTAAACTGTTGAGAGGTTGTAAACTGTTGAGAGGTTGTAAACTGTTGAGAGGTTAGAAACTGTTGAGAGGTTGTAAACTGCTGAGAGGTTGTAAACTGCTGAGAGGTTGTAAACTGTTGAGAGGTTGTAAACTGTTGAGAGGTTGTAAACTGTTGAGAGGTTAGAAACTGTTGAGAGGTTGGAAACTGTTGAGAGGTTGTAAACTGCTGAGAGGTTGTAAACTGCTGAGAGGTTGGAAACTGTTGAGAGGTTGGAAACTGTTGAGAGGTTAGAAACTGTTGAGAGGTTGTAAACTGTTGAGAGGTTAGAAACTGCTGAGAGGTTGTAAAATGTTGAGAGGTTGTAAACTGTTGAGAGGTTGTAAACTGTTGAGAGGTTGTAAACTGTTGAGAGGTTGTAAACTGTTGAGAGGTTGTAAACTGTTGAGAGGTTGTAAACTGTTGAGAGGTTGTAAACTGTTGAGAGGTTAGAAACTGTTGAGAGGTTGTAAACTGCTGAGAGGTTGTAAACTGCTGAGAGGTTGTAAACTGTTGAGAGGTTGTAAACTGTTGAGAGGTTGTAAACTGTTGAGAGGTTAGAAACTGTTGAGAGGTTGGAAACTGTTGAGAGGTTGGAAACTGCTGAGAGGTTGTAAACTGTTGAGAGGTTGTAAACTGCTGAGAGGTTGTAAACTGCTGAGAGGTTGGAAACTGCTGAGAGGTTGGAAACTGTTGAGAGGTTGGAAACTGTTGAGAGGTTAGAAACTGTTGAGAGGTTGGAAACTGTTGAGAGGTTGGAAACTGTTGAGAGGTTGGAAACTGTTGAGACGTTGGAAACTGTTGAGACGTTGGAAACTGTTGAGACGTTGGAAACTGTTGAGAGGTTGGAAACTGTTGAGAGGTTGGAAACTGTTGAGAGGTTGGAAACTGTTGAGAGGTTAGAAACTGTTGAGAGGTTGGAAACTGTTGAGAGGTTGGAAACTGTTGAGAGGTTGTAAACTGTTGAGAGGTTGTAAACTGTTGAGAGGTTGTAAACTGTTGAGAGGTTGGAAACTGTTGAGAGGTTAGAAACTGTTGAGACGTTGGAAACTGTTGAGACGTTGGAAACTGTTGAGAGGTTGGAAACTGTTGAGAGGTTAGAAACTGTTGAGAGGTTGGAAACTGTTGAGAGGTTGGAAACTGTTGAGAGGTTGGAAACTGTTGAGAGGTTGGAAACTGTTGAGAGGTTAGAAACTGTTGAGAGGTTGGAAACTGTTGAGAGGTTGGAAACTGTTGAGAGGTTGTAAACTGTTGAGAGGTTGTAAACTGTTGAGAGGTTGTAAACTGTTGAGAGGTTGGAAACTGTTGAGAGGTTAGAAACTGTTGAGACGTTGGAAACTGTTGAGAGGTTGGAAACTGTTGAGACGTTGGAAACTGTTGAGAGGTTGGAAACTGTTGAGAGGTTGGAAACTGTTGAGAGGTTGGAAACTGTTGAGAGGTTGGAAACTGTTGAGAGGTTAGAAACTGTTGAGAGGTTGGAAACTGTTGAGAGGTTGGAAACTGTTGAGAGGTTGTAAACTGTTGAGAGGTTGTAAACTGTTGAGAGGTTGTAAACTGTTGAGAGGTTGGAAACTGTTGAGAGGTTAGAAACTGTTGAGACGTTGGAAACTGTTGAGACGTTGGAAACTGTTGAGAGGTTGGAAACTGTTGAGAGGTTAGAAACTGTTGAGAGGTTGGAAACTGTTGAGACGTTGGAAACTGTTGAGACGTTGGAAACTGTTGAGAGGTTGGAAACTGTTGAGAGGTTGGAAACTGTTGAGAGGTTGGAAACTGTTGAGAGGTTGGAAACTGTTGAGAGGTTGGAAACTGTTGAGAGGTTAGAAACTGTTGAGACGTTGGAAACTGTTGAGAGGTTGGAAACTGTTGAGAGGTTGGAAACTGTTGAGAGGTTGGAAACTGTTGAGAGGTTAGAAACTGTTGAGAGGTTGGAAACTGTTGAGAGGTTGGAAACTGTTGAGAGGTTGGAAACTGTTGAGAGGTTGGAAACTGTTGAGAGGTTGGAAACTGTTGAGAGGTTGGAAACTGCTGAGAGGTTGGAAACTGTTGAGAGGTTAGAAACTGTTGAGAGGTTGGAAACTGTTGAGAGGTTAGAAACTGCTGAGAGGTTGGAAACTGTTGAGAGGTTAGAAACTGTTGAGAGGTTGGAAACTGTTGAGAGGTTGGAAACTGCTGAGAGGTTGGAAACTGTTGAGAGGTTGGAAACTGTTGAGAGGTTGGAAACTGTTGAGAGGTTGGAAACTGCTGAGAGGTTAGAAACTGTTGAGAGGTTGGAAACTGTTGAGAGGTTGGAAACTGTTGAGAGGTTGGAAACTGTTAAGAGGTTGGAAACTGTTGAGAGGTTAGAAACCTCTGCGGATGAACAGGGTTTCCAGGATCTGAACATGTTTTAGTTCCATCCTTTCTGTGTTAATCCTAACGATTAATACTGAAAGACAAAAACCATACATCCTAACCCCTTACATGATTAGGCAAAATAATCTGGCGGCCCATCTGGACTTTCTCCCGGCCCACCGGTTGAAGAATTGCAATATACCACTGACATGCATGGAGAGACAACACATTCTACTGCCTCATTCTCTCCATTCTCTCAGTCACAAACAATCTTACCTATGCACTCAACATGGGTAGACTCTGTGTAGTAGATTCCCAAGGAAGTCATGATGGTAAAATACAGAACAGCAACGCACAGAAATGGATACATGAACCTGAAACACAGAAGATAAAGAAGCTACATTGGGACAGGGCTATTCAACTGGTGGTCTGTAGGCTGAATCTGGCCCACAGAGGCCTAACAAGTGGCCCACTGATCATTGTCAATTGCATTGTACTAATGATCTTTCTAAACTAGGGCTCAGGTCTCTGTCCAGTTGATGATTCCCATTTTCAACGCTATGGCCCCTAAGTAAATTTAGTTGAAAACAGCCCTACATGAGGACTATGGATGCAAAGGTGAATCAGCACTTGCGGTGGTACACCAGGACCAGGGCTCAAACTGATCAAGACCCATCTACTTTTCCATGGTCATCCTAGAAACAGCTTCTCTACTATGGAAACTGGCTAAAGTAGATAGGACTGCTTTCTTCCGAGTGCATCTGCCTAAGAGGTGAGGAACCAATAGTCTGCACAAATATAAGCCAGATCTGTAAACCGGATGTGCGTGCATTTCAAGTCCTGAAACCATCTCAAAAGTCCAGACATGGATCTTCTTCTTTGTTTACCTGAAGATCTAAATGTTTTGTGCCTGTATTCAACACGGCTGTGATATCTGTGCCTTTCAGCCACCAAATACGACTTCTGCAGGCACTTTTTACCCGGGTTAGCCTTTCTGGTTAGGTTTTGTGGGACACTGCAGTCTCACTGCTGTGTTCATCTTTTTTTAAAATCTTCTTTTCTAGTTCACATGCTGTGCACACATGGGTAACAGCTAGGATTTTCAGCTGGAGTTTACAACCAGCAAATGCAGCAGAAGAAGACTACAAAACTTTAAACATTACAAGTCAGTCATAACTGTAACAACAACATTTGTCTACAACTAAGATATAGTAACAAAACCATGGTGAGAAGTAGAGAAAATGACTAGCAGTCAAATTTTCTACAATATTTTTTAAAATAATATGGTTAAAAGCATTTGATTCCATTTGTAAAATGAAACCCAACAGCATCTGATTCAAGCCTCTGCGTTAATTCTAATTTATATGAAAATGGATGCAGTATTTTTTATTTTGAAATGTTCAGCAACGAATGATAGCTTGAAAAAAAAAATTTATTGAAAGATAAAGCCAGCTCTTCAGACTACAGCAATGATATCCTGACACAGGTATAATATTACAGCTGTGGCAATTTATGTATTATTATTGATGCGATCAAAGGAGACAGACCCAAGTTCTGTCCAGAGAGGAGACAAAGTCGTCTACAGCCGAGCCTATAGGCCACCCAGCTGCCGATGCAGAGGGGTAGAGAGAGAGAGAGTTATATAAGCTAAGTATATGGTGACCAAAAGTTAATTATCGACCAATTCTGATGATACTGCGATGTTGAAATAATCAAAGATTTACTTAATATGTAGGTGTATGAGGTTAAATCTGTGATGTACTTTTTATTTATTCGCTAGGGGCACCGGGTGCCTTCCGCCAAATTTTTGTTTACATTCTTCTTCTTCCTGTTCACCGGCTGTAAACTCGTGTGGAAAGTTATGGCTGTTCGCCCACCTCTAGACTTTAGTGTTGTTCCAGAACCTAAGTGTTGCATGCACTTCGGCTTTACATAGCTGACTTATTCATATGCAGACTGTTGGTTCCTTGTTTATCAGACAGATGCACTTCGACTTCAAAGGAAGCCCCCAGTTAGTCGACTCTTACATGCCCCAACCATTTCAGTCTATTAGACCTCATGATCCTAGTGATATCTTTTTCTTGTTTTTTCTCTTAATCCATTCTTATTTTTGCATTAGTCCTTAGCATGATAGTGTACCTAAGGCATTTACAGGCCACTTCACTTGTAGATTCTGGGGCCTCATTTTTTGTGGGAGGTGTCGCGAGACGCCGCTTCAAGTAGACAAGATACTTTTGGCTGACGGACCGCCCCTTTGTGACCCTTCTATTTTCTCTTTTACAGAGCCTAGTGACGTCATTTTCGTCATAGACGACATTGAGAGATATCCCGGTTATAGCCTACGGTTGCTGTTTGGGGATTTTCCATTGTCTTATTTGTAATTCCCCTGAGCTTTCGCGTATAAAAATACACGGCTAGCAAACTCGGCAACGTAGCGGAAATACCCTGGCCACCAACACCGGAAATCCCGCGGTGAGACCAGATTGCCAGCCATTCGACTTCAGGTCAGCTAGCAGGAGTTAGAGCGGCCCGTTTTGGAAGAACTTTGTCTTTCCCGCCGCCTAAAAACCCTAGCAGCATGACCATATAGTTACATCTAAATCCAGGTGAGCACAGTAACTGTTAATTAAATCGTGATTTCAGTTTTTGGGCCGCATTTCACGTACAATATTAGACAGAGGAAAAACCACGATGACCCATTTCTGCACATGGGCAGGAAACCATTTCTTTACGATCTATTCCTGATTCTTATTGTTCGGTATCTAAGAGGTGACTTCTGTTTACTGTATCTAAGACTCTTAGGAAATTCTCTATGGCTGGTTATCAGAGTTTGTGTAGATAATGGTAACATTTCAATGGTAACATTTCATAGGAGACATTGTTCTTCTCATTCTCATACTTCTATAATTCATAATGTTTGCTTGTTGTAGAAGTGCTGAATTTTGTTTTCAGGTTATTGATGTATTATTCATGATGTTATTCATGTATTATTTTACGTATACAGCAATATTATATGCTGTGATTTTGAGGACATGCTGTCCGAGAAAACTACCCACTGGGAAACTGTTTTTCTTAGCATCACAAAAGCAGGATACAACCAAAAAGTAACCACACAGTGGAATATCTGGAAGAAGGAAAGGCAAGCCCTTTTATCTAGAATTCTCAATATTTATAGAGAGAATTCTATAGCATTCTGTCTGATTTTGTGTTGCATTTATAACTGCATATTGCTGTCTGAGTCTGTGTGAAAGACAGAAGATGGAAGACATTCATCTGGACTGGACAGTAGTCAGAAGTGGAAGCTATGTAAATGACAATGCTACTAGACTATTATCCCACTTCTGACAATATGAAGAGAGAGGGGAGAGTTGTGCATATATTTTATATTGCAAAACAGTAGGGACTATATATTTTGTTGATTGTTTCCATCCCTAGCTGCTGAAAAGCCGAGGACAGATTCCTTGTTCCTTGTGGCAGGACGAGCTTCCAAACCACTGCCAGGCTGGTCGTAGCTGATGATTAAAGTGCCCTAAGGAAGATCTTGGTGCTTGAGACAGATCCAACGTTCCACCTCATTCGCTGAAACGGATGATCCTCTGGGAACTCTAGGTGGTAATTGTTGTATGTTATTTCCCACTGATCCTCTCACGACGACAGTTTCATGTTACTATCATTTTTATCTTTCATCCTACTTAGTTTGAATATTGTATTTTCAAAAGTAAATAGATGATTGACTTTTACTTTAATTTTAATAAACATTCCTATGATTGATTTAAATTCAATGTTAAAGTTTAATTTTATTTCTAGATGTATGTATGGTGTCAGTGGTGTCTACCAATATACATATTCTAGATGGGGGCTTAATTTAAGTACCAGAAAGGGAAATTGTCGGGAGGGGTAATCTGCTCTGTCTAAGTGTTTAGGCATCTAAATTCCCTTATCCCTTTTCTGGGGATATTCAGGCAGCTCACTTTATTTAGCGAGCCAATTCGAGTTTGTATCTGAGTATCCAGGGACACTCTGCGCTTTGCACCAAAAGACAGTTGTCCCAGTTTCTAACAAGATAACACCACTTTAGTGAGTGTAAAAGGAACCTGTTCCACGACAGGAGGCATGGAGTTTGAGAATAGACCAACTACTATTTAAGAAGCATTTAGTAAAACCAAAGCTTGTTGTGGAGGCAGAGGGTCTATTCTTGTTTCTCACAACAGAGCACCGCAACCCGAGCAGGGATTGTTTGCATTAACAACCATGTGCCCAAGAGACAATTACGAATGCAATAAGACATGAACTTAAAGATGAAAGAAGATATTACCAGTCTTCTTTTTCATTCAATCTTTAGAGGATGGTTCGTACAGTGTTGTAATTTACAGCCAGGCTGTGATATATCTGCCTTTCTTCTTCTTCTTCTTCGCTCATCAGAAGATGTAATTGCGTTGTGTCCGTTTACAGGATGGCTGCAGTATTTTCACCTTTCGGCCAAGACATCCTACTTCTGCAGGCATTTGTTGACCGGGTTAGCAATACCGGTTAGTTTTGTGGGACACTGCAAATCTCATTTCTATGTGGTCATCTTTGTTTCCCAGGTCACAGGTGGTGCCCCAGATCAGCCACGTAATGGTGATCAACCCTCAAGAGAAAGCAAGAGCAGAACATGAGCAGGAGGCTTCCATAAATGCAGAGCCAGTACATGGTGCTCTATATGCACCTTTCATCAAGTCCCTGGTCCGTCGCCTTTTACGATCTGCTCGTCAATGGGCAGCGGGTCTATCCTGTTTCTGCCCAACAATGGAGCCCCAGACCCACACGAGCTACATTACCAGGACAAACATAATAAAAGTTTTATGCATATGCATTTAGCTTACCGATCGGCCATATTTTCTTTTCTCAGAGCTCGGATGGCCAAGGTGATGTAATAGTGACACATGATGAGTACTTGCAGCAATTTGATGTACTGTAGCAGAAAGTCTAGCTGAGGGACGTTCCAGAAAATCCAGTGTACACCCCTGGATAAAAAAAAAAAAAACTCACAAGTTTACATTAATATCAATATTTCAGCACAGCTGGCCGAGAGGTTACAATGCTGGGTTCTCATGCTGGAGACCCAGGTTCCAATCCCCAGTAAAGTGATGAAAGTTTTTTTCTGTGTGGGGAAAAAAAATATCCTCAAACAGCACAGTTCATGGTGACTGGCCTAGACATACTGTCCTAAATCCTGCCGTTAATTGTTGTGGGGAGGAAGAGTTTGCGATCCCTTGATTGGTGTGCAGCAATGGCTAATGTCATTTCATGTTGATGTAGAAGCTCTTTAATCATCATTCATCTTTTCCTAGGGCAGCAACTTCATTCACTACAGACCTTTTTTGTGTGTAGCGCCTGCACTGGTAGTTATTCTGGCTGCATTCGTACTAAATGACAAAATCATTTGACCTTCTATTTCTCAAAGAATTTGCTGCATGAAGAAGGAGAAGAACAAAGACAACATACATAAACTCACCCAGTGGCACACTCCAGTGCAGCAGCATAGAAGATGACATACTGATGACACGAAGGGTGATGGGCTGTGTGAAGTCGGATCAGTTTGATCACACACAGCACTGCTGTCAGGATCGCCATCACTGCCAGAACACAGCTCCTGGAAAAGAAACAGTAAAGGACCTTTATCTTCCCGTTTATCAGCTGTAAACTCTGATGGAAAGTTCTGCCTTTCATCCACTTTTGGACTTAAAGTCTTGTTTCAGAACTTGAGTTTTGTGTGCACATTAATTTTACAGATCAGGCTTATTTGTATGCAGACTGTTGGTTCCTCGCCTCTCAGACAGAAGTATTCCAACTTCAGGGAAAACACCCCTAATTAGTTGCCTTGCATGTCATGCTCGCTAGGGTACAGTGGATCTATTATCTCCCCTTCCCTCCCAACAGGGCCCTGGAACCTACAAAAGGAGGACCCTTTTCACACCAGTAGCACATCCATCATATGATGCTAGATTCATATTTTTAAGATGAACTGAGTCAAGAACCAACATCACAGCATTCAGGAAATTCCCATATGTGCTCCTTCCTTATCTTCAGCAACCAGCGAAGAGTTATTATTCTGATGGTACCAGAATCAGTTTGATTGTATAGTCATTCATATTTTTCACAGATCAGTCACCATTCAATGGGTAACACGGTCAACAGCACTCCGACTGCCCTTACTTGCCTGGTACCCATTTTTGGCTGGGTCAACCTCGGAGCCAAGGCCAGTTTAAATCAAAAACATTCCACCCTGATGTTGCTACCAACCACAGTCTTTGGGCCAGCAGGCAAATGTCTAGCTAGTGTGGCACCCTGGCTTCCACAGCTCCTAGACAGGGAGTGATTATATTCTCCCATCAATGATTACTTTTTAAATTAAAAAAAAAAATTTTTTAAACAGGCAAGGGACTACAAGAACACCCCCCCCCCCCCCAAAAAAAAGCTTAGCCTTTTCACCAAAGAAATGCTTAAAAAGTTGCAGAAACTATTAGGATTTACCCCCGCCCCTCCCCTGTTTTCCAACCCCTTAAAAACAACCAATGGAAAGAAATGTTTAAACAAACATTTGAAAACTTTTTTTATCTACAAACTAACACCCCCCCACCCCCCCCCCCCCCCCCCCCCCATGTTTCCATGCTTTTAGGTGAACTGGGAATACAGGGCTAGACCTATATTTTTATGGACCAGTCGGCATTCGGTTAGTGATCCTCCCAAATATGTAAAAGAAATTAATCAATAAACACAAATGGGGTGGAGCGTTAAATGAAATACATTCCCGGGGGGCCTTATAAATGTGTATCGGGTGACCCACACTATGACCCTGTGACTGCTAGCACTATGCAGATGCAAACAGAAAGAAACAGGCTTCTTGAGAACAGTCCACCCCGGAAATGCCAATCACTGTGTCACCAACAGAAGAATTAAGTTTAAGGCTTCTCTGAATGAAAGAGTTTATGTAGACAACAAATATGTAGGTAGAGTCGACATGAGAGTGTCAAGATCTTCATGAAAAATATATATATATATTTGAAATGTTATGTTATGCTGAATGAATTAATTACCCGTGTGGGTTCCCGAGCCCCACTGGGGAAAACCAGAACAGACATACATGAGTCAGATGTGTAAACCGAATGTGCAAGCTACACTCAGGTTCTGGAACAAGGCTGAAGTCCTGAGGAGGATGACAAACCAGAACTTTCTGGTGGAGCTTACAGCCGGTAAATGCAAAGAAGAAGAATGAATAAATGAATCAAGCAATGAGGACATTGCAAATTGGACATTCGCATACAGGTTCCGTCTCCCCTCCCCCCCCCCCCTCCTTTTCCCTCCTCACTAACTATACTTATATTGCCAGTTGCAATATAAAGTTCACCTGGCTTTTTCCCCTATGCGTAGAAATATGTTGTCACAACTGCTGTTACTGCATACCAAGCATTCCCATACAAGCTCAACCCTCCGATGAAACAGCTAACCTAAAGTACCTTTACCGACAGTCCCCGTTAGAAGTCGGTTACAATGTCTTGACCTCAGAGGTCGCATTGACATGCTTCACCAGGATTCACTGTGAGGTTATGTAATTATGTTAGCGCCTGAGAGTTTTTCATTATCAAGAAGCCTAGTCCGAATAGCCTTATGTCACCATTATCATTCATAAAGACTATTAACAAATACCTAAGAAACCCAATGGACATTAAATAGGATGAATTTTTTAAAAATGGAAAGCAATAAGAGAAATGTTTGGACAACTGTTTGCATCATTAGCAATACAACAAAGAAGATAGCAAGGTGCTTTATTAATATCCTAGCCCCAGATGACATAACAGGACAGTCCAACATTTTAGAGGGTGGTAAAACTGGGTTTCCCGGCTTTCTGATGCTTTTAACGACCCCAAAATATCTAGAACTGGCCCTAAACCCACCGGAGAGTGCAGCCTAGGTCCCACGACTGCATGCAGCCTAGGTCCCATGATTGCATGCAACCTATCTATCATCTCCTGAAATATTAGACTGTCCCATAATCTGTGGATTTCCCATGTTTGCAGTAGGATATTAATAAAGCACCGATGGCAAAATACAGGGCACATCCAGAGGACAAATATGAAGAGAACCAGCAAGCAAGCACTGAAACTTTGAGACACCTTCATACTGCAGTTGACACACTAATGTGTCACAAACCACAGCTTGGAAAGCTCTGATTTAGACATACAGCAAAAAAAAAAATGAGTACCTGACACAAGCCACAGTTTCAAAGTTCTGCAAACAGCTGTTCTCCATAATGTTGACAACTGTCATGTTGGTGATGTTAAGAAGCAGGCTAAACCCATCTCCCCCCTCGCCAGATTCGTATGATTCAACAACTTGTTTCATGTTTTGGCTTGTCGTCAACAGTGAAGAAAATGTGTAAACACATGACGACAGCTGGCTGATAAAAAATCATGTCGGGGACACATGTTTTCCTCTGTCTTCATTGTTCTTTGTTCCGTGGTTCTGTGAAAAGAAAAAATATATATATATATTTACACGCATTCAGTTTAACTTTTCACTGTCTCTTCTTCTTCTTTATAGCATTCACCAGCTGTAAACTCAGGCAGAAAGTTCTGGTTGTTTGCCCACTTCTGGACTTTGGTCTTGATCCAGAACTTAGTTTTGCGTGGACATTGATTTTACACATCTGACTTATTTATATGTAGACTGCTGGTTCCTTGCCTCTCAAGCAATTGAATGCTGACTTCGAAGGAAACATCCCTAATTAGTTGCTTTTTACAACATGCTTATTGGGGGGCCGTGGGTCTAATCTTGTTTTTCTTTTATCCCAAAATGGGGCCCTGGAAAACAAACAGGGAATTTCAAAAAAGTAAATAGATGGAACATCAGAATAATAAAACAGCATTTGAGTTAGCCTTATGTGTTAATTCCTCGTAAACACACACAATGGTTTACATATTCAGTTACTGGAAACAGCCTTTTTTTTTCCAGTTCGATTTCTAGATAAGTGCAGTTCCCTGCTGATGTGATCCATCTTCTGGCAAGGTGGATTGCCTCCATCAAAACGCTGCAAGCACAGTTTGCCAGTCAAAGCCACACATCTAATGGCTATCACCCTATTTCAACACAGCAAAACCACAATTCGTGCTTCTTGCTTGAAAACACAATATATACTACATTGAAAGCACACAAAGCAGCAGTCCCTGAAAAGGTAACAGAGCAAATCGCGAGAAAAATCACAGCCATTTAAAAGCTAACACAGACGCCATCTAGTAAACTGTACTAATAATAATACAGATCACATCTTAACTCGTTCAGTTATCATAAACCACTTCTGCTGTTAAGTATCGTGGGGAGGAATAATTTGTGATCCAGTGCACGCTGGCTGCCACTGGCTATTGTAATGCAGAGAAGGTGTAGAGTGTCTTTAATGTTGTAATTTTCACGGCCTACCTCTTGCTCTTATAGCTGATCTTCTGAGTTTTAGTGCCTGTGATGGTATTCGATCTGGCTTAATTCTAATGAGATGGCCAAACTACCTGATCTGCTGTTTCTTTATAGTAGCATTCCAAAAGAGAGAGTAAAAATATATGGCACAAGGAGTTGAAGTAACAATCGAGACATACTGGATTTATGTAACACTAAGAGTTGGACAGAAGATATTAAATATGCTTTCCATTGTATTAAGTGGTGAAATAATGCAGGTTTAGTTGCTCGGCACTGAGAGAGTTAATGTGGCTTAAAAGTTGTTAATACAGTTTAACAATCCGCAGACACCGGGGCCTGAGGTCACTAATTAGGGTGGCTAATTAGAGTGACTGATTAAGGGTCTGCTGAGACAATGTACTGGGCCAAAATAGTGTAGATATCACAGCCTAGCTGCAAATGATTACATAACATGTCAACCACTCAGACAGAATATGAACTGAAGAAGAAAGTCAAAGAGGAAAAATGCTGGATGACTAATATGGAGTAGGTCAGGGGCTGAAATTATAGAGAACACAGAACAGAACTAACAGATATAAGTGGAGGGAACATGATCACCTGTGCTACAGTACGACACATGATGATGACAAGTCATTGTTGTTTATGATGACACTGGTGTTAGTGACAGTCTTTTTGAGGATACAGTGATACATGTTCAATTTAGTTTCTGCAAGTTATCAGAGTAGGCATAATGAGTCTTACAAATATGGGTACCCTATATAACTTTTAGAAACTCTACAACAGTAGAATGTGTCAACGGTAGAATGTGTCAACAGTAGAATGTGTCAACGGTAAACTTGGCAGAATAAGCAAGAAACAGAACCTTTTTATTTTTCTCTTCGACGTCCAAAGTGGCAGAAGAGGATATCATATTTTTTCCACAAAAACTTCAATAACTCTGCTTAGAGTTGACATAGAGGCATGAAAGAGGCACCGTTGGAAAGGGTTTTTCAATACGGATGCAGCTGTACTTGTTTTATGAGGATAAAACGATTTTGGAAATTTGACCAAAGTTGCTAGGATATGAAGACATAAGTTTCTGAACTGTCTGGGAATGAAAAGTGAAGAAACAAACTGACCACAGCACTTCATATGTTGTGGCTTATGGTGTCTGAAGCCTAAAACTTCACATACTACTATGGGTGGTGGGTAATATATGACACTTACATAGAAATAAAATGAAATAAAATACTGCCCCATGTCTATTTTTCTGGAGTAAAATTGTATACCAAACAGAAAAATCCCCCTTTATCATATGTGCTTGACATAATTACTAATTTGGCTAAATGTTAATAATAATAATAATAGTAAAATTAAATATCTAAGGGCTTATAATAATTTAAATTACTATTCACTGACGCAGTTTTGATCCCATATCTTATTTGTTTGTCGGCTCTGCCCGGGGTTATGTGGTATCATAACTTTAGAAACGTCTTCTATAATTACTGAAAAGGGTTTCTTTGCAGAATCATAAAAGATCCTTTGCTGCTGATACAGACGGCTGCTGGGGTCCGTTTGAGAACACATAAAACATCGAGTTTAGGTTTAGGATTAAATATGGGCCAGACTCTTCGCCAATCAATGAGTCACCACTCTTCATTCTGTCTCGTTGATTGATCAGTAAGACTAAATTATGGACACATTATGGATACACGACACCTATATAGATAACTAAATCAGATCTTGGGATACAAAATATCACCTGTTATTGAGAAAGTCTCACCTTGAAGCAGAAGAACCTAACATTTTGGCAGAAATTTGGAGAATCTGGACGCCCCCATTCAGCAGCAGAGGTAATCAATTTACAATGCTAATGTTTACCGGAAGTCGAATGTCGTCTGGTTCGTCATCATCATGTGCCGATGAGCGTAGCGAAAGCTGTCATATTTCGCCTTTTAACATGATCACCAGAATCACTCATCAGGTCAGTGTTGTTTGTCTCGCCTCATCCATATTATTAGACCATCCAGGTTTTATCTTTTTGCCTCCATTTGCCCTCTTGTAAATGGTATACTAACATAAATATCGATATCTGAGAGTGAGAGAGAGAGAGAGCGAGAGAAAGAGAGAGAGAGAGAGAGAGAGAGAGAGAGAGAGAGAGGGAGAGAGAAGAGAGAGAGAGAGAGAGAGAGAGAGAGAGATACAGGTAGGTAGATGCTTTAATGGGGGAACAAATCGTCGCGCTTAAACAGCATCCCCGAAGGAAGAGTTTTAAGTTATAATTGTGACTAGTTTAAGTTATAATTGTGACTAGGTTATGTGGGCCATATAAAATGGCTCAGAATTGCAAACCACCAAAAGCCCTGAAAAGTACTCCTGCAGTGTTGATGCGATCAAAGGAGACAGACCCAAGTACTGTCCCGACAGGAGACGAAGTCGTCTACAGCCGAGCTAATGGACCACCCGGTTGCCGTTGCAGAGGGGGAGAGAGAGAGAGAGAGAGAGAGAGAGAGAGAGAGAGAGAGAGAGAGAGTTATATAAGTGATTCAATCGATTACAAAACAGTTATGGCGTTGGATACGATACACATTAGGAAAAAACAAAGATAATAATATAATTAAAAAAGCACTTGCACAAGAACACACATGGTAAAATAAGAAAAGTATATCGCCCTCTCCAGCGCACACCCACGCATGGGGTAAACTGCATTAGTTAGCAAACGACGGAATTTGCCACGAGTTTGTTGGGGGCCTGAGGTGTTCAGCCCTCACAACTGATAAAGACCGCTGTGCATCCAAAATGTAGTAATCGAAAATGACTGTCAGTACGAAGATGACTGAGGATTCCCATATTAGCCTGGAAAGTTCTTGAGCAGTGCGGGCAATAGATGGACGCGACAGAAGAGGTTGGATTTTTCAAACAGTTCTTTCGTGTCTGCCTTTGCCTCTTTCAGTGCAACCTCCGCTACCCAGCAGGCTAATGCAGCATGCTTGACGGCTGTACGCCATTCATCTCGGTCTTGGGCAACAGCCTCCCACGTTTCTGTCTTAATGCCATCCATCCATGCATTTATTATCTTGCCTTAATTCGAAAAGATTTGACATCTGCTGAGGAAAAAAAAAAGAGAAACGAGAGAATCCCCAAACGGGTACTCAAGAGTGAAATAAACGGATTAAGGAGGCGAGGACGCTCCCCCCCCCCCCCCATCCATTCCACTTATGCAAAATTGGACTGATTACACAGAATAAAACGGAATGGAAGTATAGAATGTGAGTCCCAAGTGACATATAATAAAATAACACAACAGGACAATGCATTTGAAGTTTAAAGTTTGAACAACGGATGAACATCATGGCACACTCATAAGTGCTCCGTTCTTCTTCTAACTCAAGACTGAGTCCGAAGAAGCTCAGCCCAGTGCACAGGCTCTGTAGCGCCGGCAAGGACCCTGAAATACTTTTAATAGATTTTCAACTCCAAATTTTGCCCAGGCAGCACCTTTAGGCTACTCTTTTCGATTTCCACCTGCCGAGGGATTTGTTTACGTGCAGAGCTAGGATGGAACCTGCTATCCAGGCATTACGAAGCGCTTTCGCAACGCCGAAACCAGGCGGAATTACTAGAAGTCCAATTCCACGTGAAAAAATCCTAGCCCTTACCGGGGATTGAATCCGGAACCTCCAGCACTCGAGGTGGACACCATACTTCGAGACCACTGAGGCCCCCCCCCCCCCCAGGACAAATCATGAATAAGTTTAGGATTTCCCACACTTAATATTGACTTGATGTTAAAGTTAATTGCGAATCCTCTAAAGGACGGTGCAGAACCAACCCTAGCATGTTCTTGGGTTTTCAAGGCAAATTTTACGTTTAGTAGTTTGCCACTGCTCACTGAACGGTCAACTCTGAGCACCACTGTCGGAACCAACGCAAGACAAACCGTCCGAAGCTAGGAT